ACCCTATCCATCCTCCACAGATGCCTTATTTCCTGGGCGAGTTCTGTGTACTTGCTAATTTTTTCAGTGCATGTGTTTTGTACATTGTGAGTGTTTGGAATGGCTATGTCTATAATGTATGTGATTTTATTGTGTTTGTCAATGAGTGTGATGTCTGGTCTATTGTGATAAATTGTTTTATCTGTGATTATGGCTCTGTCGTAGTAAATTTTGTGCGTGTAGTTTTCCAATACTGTCTGTGGAATATACTTGTAGCATGGTTCGTGGATGTCTAACAAGTTGTGTTTCTTTGCAAGATCTTGGTGTATTATATTTGCTACTTGATTATGAATAAACAAAACACCTTTGTCTATTCCAGCACACTTTTAATGCGTTGAAAAACGTTTTCGATCGTTTTAATCGATCATCATCAGTTCAAAATTCGAACTATACAACGAACAAAGTACAGTGATACCCCGAACTTACGCGATAGGTGGGACCGAGCGATGACCACATAAGTCGAATTCGCGTAAGTCTGGGTATAATTTTGCAATACATGTAAAATCCAAGTCGGATGTATGTAAGCTAATAAATGTTCTTGTTAATCTTATCTCGTCTTTTGATTCGTTCACGGTTACAACAAATCACCACGTAGAGTCTCTCAAGGCTCCGTAGATATAACAAACACAGAAATAAATAACACAAAATAAATTGTAGCTATGTGTCAATTCCGCACGACACATCCGAACATGTAAGCCAAACAATAGTGTGGGGGGGAGTGAGTAATCAAGAGTTGCATGGCGCTCAAACAAAAGATGAATCGACGAGATTTGAAAATCGCGTAAGTCGGGGTAGCATAAGTCGAGGTATTACTGTATTCGAAAAAATACAAAAAATTTCACATCGCTTATTTACAACTTAACACTAAAGCGCATGCGCGTACTTATAAAACGTATAGATTAAACCTAAGTAATTAAAAATAACAACATTATATATCAATTAATATTATAAAAACAAATAATAACGCCGCCTATGCGGTTGCAATAGTTAATCTATGCTATCATAAAAGGACTTCCAGGCTGTTGATAAACTTTCGGCATCTCTGTAGTTGATGCACTGCGCGGTCATATGCGCCTTGTGTATTTCAACTTTTTCCAGGTGTTTCACCGCTTGTATTGATCTTGTAGGTTTAATAATCGCGGCCTGATCCCAGTATACTTCAATTCCTTGTTGCTTTGCAAACGCTGCGAGGACCGTGCTATAAAGGCTCCTATTTACTGAGTATTTGTGCTCATCAATCCTTTTCTTCAGGCTCCTACATATACTAGGTCGGAGTTAAATCTATGGTCCTTCATAGATATTGAGTACACTCCTGTCATGCTATTATGTTCATATCTTTTCTTATCATTTCTTAGAAGCTTATACACTGTAGGATTACGTCTATAAATTATTTTTACATTCTTATTTCTGGCAACTTTCTTAATAATTTTATTTAGAGATGGATGGTAATTAATTACAATTCTTTCCCTTAGTTCAGTTGCTCTCTGTTGCTGGTTCCGTTTTTACATCCTTGTTATCAGTTATCGATGCACTGATCGATAACTAAGGGCAATCGATGCACTGATAACAAGGATAGTTATTTCCGTTGCTCAGCATAGTATCCCTGTTCAGCCGTATCCCTGTTGCTCAGCATAGCTGAGCAGGGATACTATGCTGAGCAACGGAAGAAAGGCAATGCTAGTACAATGCGTGTAAGCCCTTGTAATCCATGATCGAAATGCTGCCAATTTGATATGTTCTGGATCTGAGGAATTCTTAGGTATGATGATTGGTTGATAAACTGGCTTGCGGTATATATTCATTTTGATCTCACCCTCTTTGCATGTAATAGTTACATCTAAGAAATTAACACTATTTTTACTCTCCTGGTCTAGTTCTAATGTTAGACCATAAGGGTTACTGTTGATTAAGCTTATAAAACGGTGTGTATTTCTACTATTTTTCCACAAAATGAAGATATCATCTACATACCTCGCATATATTATTATATCATTCTGGAAAGAGGGTAAGATATTACTTTCACTTTCTAGCTTTCTTAGCACCAACTCACAAAGAACAGCTTACATTGGGCTACCCATTGGTACGCCCCGTCCTTGCAGATATGTTTTTCCTTCAAATTCAAAGAACGATGTATGGCAAATCAAATCAGTTAATTCCAAAATGTGTTTATTGCATTAAGTTGTAAATAAGCGATGTGAAATTTTTTGTATTTTTTCGAATACTTTGTTCATTGTATAGTTCGAATTTTGAACTGATGATGATCGATTAAAACAATCGAAAACGTTTTTCAATGCATTAAGTGTGCTGGAATAGACAAAGGTGTTTTGTTTATTTTTAATTAATATTTCCAGTAAGCATTTAGTTATTTACTTGATTATGTCTGTGTAAATAATCTGTCTGTGCCAAGAGCTTGCACCCAGAAGTGATGTGTTGTATAGTTTCTGGCATGATGTGACATTTTCTGCATGTGTCATTTGTGAGTGTTGTATCTTTGAGTATATGTTTTCTGTGGTTTTTAGTATTTATGACCTGATCCTGTATGACAGTCATGAATCCTTCTGTCTACCCAAAGAGGCATCCCCGATC